AACTCTCCAGAGAAGCACAATCAAGTGTTTCCTGCACATTTCTTCAATTCACCTATTCTCCCTGAAGAATATCTGACTAAATCACATTACCATCACAAAAAATGCACTAATTACCATGAACAAGCACACTTAAAGATTTGAGTAATTAGCAAAGGCAGCATTTCAAATGATGATAAAACATCTCTTAAATGGAAGAGAACACAAACGGTCTTGCAAATCTAACATTTTTTTGCATGAACTCCAAGAATGAACTTTAAAAAAAAAACAAGCCCTGTATGCCAGTAAAAACAGGTTACTCACCTATAATGCTATCTTTAGACAGTCGAAGGCACCTGATTCTGTACGTGAAAGTCTGTGTGAGGGGCCGCGGAGACGATCTGAAGTGGTGCCTGCCATTCCGTTACCTGGGAAACCGATGCTCTTTCAAAGCGGCCGACCAATGGCGAGGCGACTCGATTGTGCTGGGACAAAAGTCACATGACCAGGGTTTGAGCAGCACACAAAAACTGATGAGTGGGGTTGGGGTGGGCAGGAGTTGTCAGGGCGTTTGGGGGAGGAATGGACGCTTGAAAGAGTCACAAAAGAAATCAAACGGCAAGCGATCCCACCATGGTGAGGCACCAACTTTATGCTTGTTTAGGGACTGCTCGTTCAGCCAAGCAAATCCAGTGACCTTTAATGATCACTAAAAATTTGTAAAAACATTATTTTTTTCTGTTGAATGCTGTTACTTTCAAAACCAGACTCTAGGAAAAGGGTTAAAAATGCACTTTAGGATCATAAAGGTGTACCAACATTCCCTTCAGCTATTAAACTGATCTCGTTCAATTGTGTTTCGAATGAGTTCATGTTTTCCATCAGGTTCATCATGTTAAGTGCCCTACAAACACTGCACTGACTCTGATGTAATCATGGAGCAATAAGACGCCCCATGAAACTCCAGTGAACAACAGCTCATCTCTGAGCTAAATTGTAGTTTGAGAAAATGGATCCATTTTTTTCTTGATTGATCTGTCTGTGACTGGAATGCTAATGACTCGGATGCAAAACGTGCAACCTTGAAGATTTCAAGCAGAACAGGACAGATAGATTCAGACTGACAATACTGATTTAAACCAAGGAGATTCACATGAAACAAAAGCAAAGGGCAAAGCTCTATTACAAGTAAATCGGTTAGTAAATGAATAATTTAAATATTCTGTGATTATTTACCGAGTCACTTCGTTCCAAACCTGTATGCCTTTCTTATGTGGAAAAATAAAAGAAGACAGTTTGAGAAATGTCCATGCTGCTCTGTTCCATACAACAAAAGTAGGCAATGACCAGGATATTAAAAAGTTTTTAAAGGGATAGTTCCCCCCAAAATAACATTTCTGTCATCGTTTGCCGAACCTCACCCTTGTTCCAAACCCATACTTTCGTTCATTTTTGAAACACAAGTGAAGATATTTTTAAATTTGGACTCCATTGAAAGTCCAAGTAACCACAACTTTCATGCATTAAAAAAGTACAAAAGACATTGTAAAAGTAGACTGAATGAATTGCGTGATGTTTAATCCACATCTTCTGAAGAGACATGATTGCTCTATAATGAACAGGTCAAATTATCTTACAGGTATTTATCATGATACACAGTCATGAGGGTCTGCAGGTGACCTTTCTATGATATCAGTTCCTGTTGTTGTTGTTGTTGTTGTTTTTCCCAACCCCTTACGTTCTACACATTGGTTGCACCACATGACCGTAATTTGACAAACAAAACTTGTACAAAAAAAAAAAAAACGTATTTTCCTAAATTATAATATATTCTAAATTACTTGGGGAGCTTTCACACAGAACACATTCTTGCATTAAAAAAATGCAGGACAGCCAAAAAAAAAAAAAAAAGCAAGGTCTGGAGACACATTTTGTACAAGTTAAACTTCTTTTAACTTGACTAACGCAAATGCAACAGTCCACGACGTCCATCTAACACATGATTACATAGAGAAACAATTGGAAAAGCAGCACAGTGGAATGCAAAAAATTAAGGGGCCGTTCACACAGAATGTGTTTTTGCGGTTAAAAATGCAAGATGTGGGGCTGTAAAAAAAATAAAAACTCTTGTCTCGAGCAAAAAAAATGTCTTGAGCACTGCATTTTCAAAATGCTTTGTCATGAGCAAATGCACTGCAAGATATGTGTTATACGTGTGTGCAATGGTCAAAGAAATCCATCAAACAAGCGCATATTTACATGGAAAAGTCACGCGGTAGAACACAAAAGTGTATTCTGTTTGAACGGCCCCCCGAGTTTTTTGCCCATGAAACTCATCCTTTTAATGAAACAACTTTTCTTAATTATTATATCATTCATCACTCTGACATTTTTACTTTATACTCCTAAAAAATATCAAAATGTATTTTAATTCAGAAATGGAAAACATTCTCTTTGTAGAAGAGGTTATGGATTTATTTGTATGTATTTGTGAACGAATTAAGGATATTGTTAGCATTTTGCAAAATATTCTTTTGCATTCCATGGAAGAAAGTCACCTAGGTTTGGAATGACATAAGGGTAAATTATGAAAGAATTGTTATTTTTGGGTGAATTATTCCTTTAATAGTATTGGTTTTCTTTTTTCTTTTTAAATAGTAGAAATACCAAAGACTCCCCATTTCCTTTTATGAAGCTCTGTAAACCGAAATTTGATAAGGCAATGATACTTCAAATTATTTTGCAATGCTCGTTATTTTCTTCTGAACTGTCCTTTTCGATAAGGAGAACATATAACGCAAAGCAGTAATCAAAGTAATCAAATTGCGTTTCAGGAATTTTAATAAGGTAATTCCCAACATATTTCTCTCATGGGAAATGTAAAGCGGAAGCATAACTCGGAAGGCAAAAGCATGCGTGTGTATGTGATGTGAAGCTGGTGCCTGTGAAGTATGCGCTGTCTCCAGCTGGTACATAAGCGCTTTTTGTTCTCGATCCATCCAGCTGCTGGACAGATGAGTCACTGCGAAGAGCTTTGGCAGGAGGGAGAGACCGACACTATTTGATTCCCACGACAGCCAAAATCTAGCACAAGTCATCCAGAAAGAACACAGTAAATCAAGGAATTCATCACGGAAATAGCAAAACACTATGTATTGAATGGAATTGCGAAGAAATATTACAAAATTACTTAAAGGGAATAGTTTGCCCAAAAATGAAAAAATGACACCCTCAGGACATGATGTAGTTGAGTTTGTTTCTTCATCAGATTTGTAGAAATGTAGCACTGCATCACTTGCTCACCAGTGGATGCTCTGCAGTGAATGGGTGCCGTCAGAATGAGAGTCCAAACAACTGATAAAAACATCACAATAATCCACACCACTCTCCAGTCCATCAGTTAAGGCTATGTTTGGAATAGCATATTAATTGTAGTATTTCTGCAGTATATATGTATACTGTACACACTATGTGAATTTCCTGTATACACCTGCAGTAACGTGTAATATAGCCTACAACACACAGCATGAAATGAAATATCCCACAATGCAGTGCACTCAAAGTGAGCTTCCATTTTCAGCATGACAACAGAAACCACAAGTAATTTAGCCACGATTTTTTTTTTTTTTTACATCTCTTGCTTTGGCTAAATATTTGATGTATATTTGATGTAATATAGCTGCTAGCTATATATAAATAATATAAATAAATAAACAAACTACAAAAATTTGCTTATAAATTGCTTATTATTACCAAATATTGGATTCAATGTTTTTATCAACTTGTTTTCCTTCAATTAGCACAGGTTTTGTATTTGTTAAACTGACTGATCGTAGACCTCATTGATCTGAACTTATGTACCTCTGTTTTTGAGTAAATACTGCTAAAATTAGCAGCAAGTTTTTTTTTTTTTTTTTACTAAAAAAGAAATTCAAAACCTGTGCTAACTGGGGGGAAAAAGGATAAAAAGATTGAATCCAAGATTTTGTGATAACACAGCATAATGAGATTTTTAAACTGGTTATATATTTTTTTCCACCAAAACCAAATTAGGATTTGCACAGCCAATTTGGAGTGCAACTTTTAAAAAAAACTATTTGTAATTGTATTTGTATTTTTTACAATTATATTGAAGTCTCAACTTCTCAATTATATTGAAGTCTCAACAAAAAAAATCCTATTCGTTTAATTTGTCACTCATCATAAGCTTAGTCTGCAACCATATGTATCTAATTACACAAGTGTCAAAGGAATAAAAGTAGCATTCGGCTGGTGACCAGCACAAGGGGGACCACACTTATGTTCACTAAAACACTTTTTCTGGACCACTGATACAACTGGAGACTTCATCTTACATGAGTGTACATCATTTCAAACATATCTGTCAAAATTACTACTCAATCAGTCTTTCAAAGATGTCATTTCTACATCAATCACTTGCCACATATACAAATAATGACTGCACATCTGAAATGACACAAAACATCACATCACAACTCCAGCAGGACACTGCTATCATTAGCACACATGATGCACATAACACATATGAACTCAGTTATTCTAGTTAACATGCCTTTCTTGCTCACCTCAGCACTAGATACAAGCGTCTAGACTTAGATATAGTCTGCTGTATATAAAAAAAATGCATTAGGAGGATGGTTTAGTCTAGAATCAATCTATGAACGTAGGGATTTTAATTTCCTAAACAAAAATAAATAAATAAATACAAATAATAATAATAATAAAAAGATTGTCACTGCATTATAACAAAATATCAAAGCAAACAAATACTGCAGCTTTTCTCAGGACTGGATTTGCACTTTTCTGAGCCATTTTTTTCTCTCAGTATTTTTTATACTTTTAACTGGTGTCAAGTAGAGTTTAGTGGCTGTATGAAGTGGATGTTCGGTTTACTGGCAGGTGTTCATACTAAGCGTCCGAAGAAGCGTTTAGCTGTAGATTTGTTAGACGTACAAACTTAATTAATCGATTATACCAACTTAAGAATAAGCATTCACACTTACCACTAAAGCGCTGCATTTCTTCGCACTTTTTCGCATGCTATTTTGTCCGTATAAACAAGCGACACGACGCCACAACCAGCCTATGCTGAGAGTGAACGCGACGCGCGAGTGACGTCGACGCCAGTTGACCAATCAAAGACTTAGCTTACGCGTGCGTCGCGTCGATATCGGTGTCCCGTGTGTTGCTATAGTTGATCTTAAAGGGGTCATATGATGCGATTTCAAGTTTTCCTTTCTCTTTGGAGTGTTACAAGCTCTTGGTGCATAAAGAAGATCTGTAAAGTTGCAAAGACTAAAGTCTCAAATCCAAAGAGATATTCTTTATAAAAGTTAAGAGTCAGCCACGCCTACCTAAAACAGCTCGTTCTAAAACGCCCCCACATGTCTACATCAATATGTGGAAATATTAGCATAATGCCGCCCAAATGTGCATGCAAAGAAAGAAGGCGTGGTTTCAGGAACAGCAGCAGTGTTGATGCAGCCATGTCAGGGAGACGCTGTGTGATTCAGCGAAAGCAAAAGCACTTTATTTGGCCTTGCACATGCTAAATGTAACATATTTCGCAGGTAACAAGTAAGATATTATGCAGTATTTACCTTATGTAGCCACCGACAACCAAACCCCGAGCTCTACTCTTCAGCACAAAATATCAATCTTTTGAATACATAAGATTATGTTCAAAACTAACATTACTGTCATATGCTCAAAATATTAACACAAAAATTTCACTTCAGCGGCACTGGGCCTATTTTATATCAGATGTAAGAGGTGTCGCCATCAAGCAGCAGAATCCAAAAAACCTGAAGCTGAACAAGTGAAGGATCCTGATCAAAGTTCAACATCACAACATAGTAGCTTAGGTGAAGGCAGTGTTTAATTTTTAGAATAAATCTGAAAATAAGTAAAAACGAGACATGGAAGGGATTACTGATGCTTTCTGCTGCCTCCGCTGTCTCTGCTGCTCCCTCCGCTGTCTCCACTGCTTCCTCCGCTTCTGCCTCTGCTGCTCAGGGATTCTGGGATTTGCTCCCTGTTGTGGGGAACTTATGGTCACAAGTGCTCCCTGTAGGGTCCCAGAATCCACAGGCGCCATGCTTGAGGTCCTGGAGGGCATGGGTAGTGCCTGGGTGGCAGAGACAGGAATGCTCTGATGCACAGCAAGCCTCCGTTTTCTTGTCTTCATGGTTCTGAAGGGCACTGTTGCTCCTTTCAGAGGCTCAGCGGGCACTGCCTCTGCCGGTGGAGACCTGGCAAGCACTCCTGCTCCCTGTGGGGTCCCGGCATGCATAGGGTTCCTGTCAGGTAAAGGTGCTTCTTGAGGAGACTTGGAAAGCATGGGAGTACCCTGCACAGGAGAGGCTTGACGCTTCTGCTGCAGCAAATCCTTCTTCAGTCGCTCAGGTATCTTGAGCTTTTGCCTCTCTGTGGTCTTTTGGGGCACAGGTGCTCCCTTCACAGAAGAGGCTGGAGGCGAAAGCTGCAGCAGCTCCTGCCTCAGCGGCTCAGGTATCTTGAGCCTTTGCCTATCTGGGGTCCTGTTGGGCACGAGTGTTCCTTGAACAGAAGAGGATTGAAGCTTCTGCTGCAGCAGGTCTTGCCTCAGTTGCTCAGGGATCTTTGGTTTTGGCACCTTTGGGGCAGTCATAGCTTCTCTCTGTAGAGACTTGCTGCGCATGGGTGTGTCTTGAGGAGACACTGTGGGCACTGGTGCTCCCTGTGGGGACCTAACAGGCACAGGTGCTCCCAGTTCAGAAGCGGCCTTTAGCAGATGTTGCCTCAGATACTCAGGGATCCTGTGCTTTCCTCTTCGTTGAGAGCCAGTGGTCACAGCTGGTCCCTGCGGGGACCCAGCAGGCTCAGGTGCTACCTGAGGCTTCTTCTGGCTCCACTTCCTCTGCTGCTCCGTGGTCTTAATTGTTGCATCTGAGAAGCCTACGTGCGGAGACTCTGCCTTCTTAGATGCATCGTTGAAGACCAGGGATGAGGTGTGGTCCCTCTTCTTGGTATAAGCAGGCACTGGTGCTCCCTGTTGGGACCTGGGAGGCACGGGTGCACCCTGTGTCTTCTTCTGCCTCCACAGCTACTTGGTCTTCAGTGTTGCATCTGGGAAGCCTGAGTGCGGGGACTCAGCCTTCTCAGATTCATCACTGAAGACCAGAGACTTGGGGCATGAAGTTTCTCGTCTCCATTTTCCCCCACCGCTGCACTGAGGTGAGGTCCCCATACTCATGCTCTTCAGATATAGGAGAAGAAACCTCCATTATTGCCCACCATCGCCCTGCGGCGAGGGCAGCGGTGAGCTCATCTGAGAGTTCAGGAGATAAGAACTGCACTGCACTCTCAGGAAAACTGGTGGGGATGGTTGACATACTCATGCTGATGTTCGATGTGATGATAAAAGAAGATCCAAATAAGTGAAAAATACACAATACTGACTTTGTCTTTCTATCTGTAAACACTGTGACAGAAACAGAAAGGGAAACAGTTGAGTTGAGTAAACATGCAAGAGCCTGCAAGGTGGTTGTCTAAAGTTTTTTTTTCTTTTTATTTTTATACAGTGTATGCCCAGTAGGCGGTCCATCAGCTGAGTTTTTAATTAATTTACCAACTAATGTGCATAACTCAGATGCTTATAATGTAAAAGTATATACCTCCTTCTAAATGCATATCTAATCATTGTAAGAGGTAGCTATTAAACAATTAAAGCTTTCAGTATTAATCGTAATCAAGGAGTGATGAATGGAGTTCCTCACAAAGACAAGATAACATCAATGAGGCTCTGTATTTATGAGTAAATGTTTATAGTCATAGTCTGGATTTGGCACTGCAAGATTTGTTCTGTTTACTGAAAAGTGTTGTGTTTATAGAGAGATTATAATGCGTCATTAAATATCAAGAATATTGGAGGATATCATCTGTATGGGAGCATAATTATCAACAATTATATAAAAAAAAAACAAATGGCTCAAATCAATCATTGCTTTGATCATTACTAATTTACATATCTGAAACTTTCCACACGGACCTCCACTGTGTAGCATGCCTGTTTATTTATCTCAATGCACAGAGCAGATTTTTCTCCAAGTTCTGAAAATATTGATTACAAATTCAGATGTCCAAATTGTAAAGAGGATACTCACGATCACTCGTCACAACTCGCTACAAAATGCCTGATTCCACTGCACTCATATTTATAGAGTACTCCCGAATGTTCTAATGGAATGCAGCGATCATAATGACGTAAACAATGGACCACCCACTGATCAGAAATTTGTCCATCTGCTTTAAATATTACAATTATAATAATAAAAAAAAAAAGATAAAATAAAAAATGTTAGATTAATTTTATTACCTAAACTCGCAAAATAAATATAATAATCAAGCTCTTTACGACAGCAGGGAGCAGCAGCCAGCGCCTTTAGTTGTCATGGCAACCATATACATTGTGCACTGAATCTCTTAGAGTCAGTGTAACCACATCACAGTGTAACCACTAGATGCCTGTACAGCCCTATTTATAAATATATACAGGTCCGTGTGTTCCCTACTTACAGAGAACAGTGTTTTCAGACATAATTACTTACTTTTATTGGGTTTTTAAGTTGGAAATATATTTAGGGAGTTTATTATTCATTTCATTACAGACATACACGTTTGTATATTTCTGTAGTGTAATTACATATAAATTGCAAAATAAATAAATTGAATAAATATATAGGCTATAAAATATATATTACAAAATTTATACCGTTATACCGTTTACTACCGTTCAAAAGTTGGGGACTGAATTTATTTTTTTTTTTTAAGTCTCTTGTGCTCACTAAGGCTGAATTTATTCAAAACTACAGTACAAACAGATACATTAACTATATCCTTAAAACCACATGTAAGGAAAAAGAATGATTGTTTTCCATCCTACATTTGCCTTTATTAACAACATATATCTGGATGTGCACAAAAAAAATCTTACAAAATTCTGCCCAAAATGGTTAAAAGGCTCAGAGCCTGTGGAGATTGTGGCCAGTAAATGATGCGGTGTTTGTCAGAATGTCATCTGTGGAAAATCTTTCAGAGATGCGTGGAATAACTGCACCTGCACCTGTCTGCAAACACTGAACCTGCAAGAGCAGACATGCTAGCAATCTGCCAGAGATGAAGCTGCGCTGCTGGAGATCACCGCAGGAGAACATCACAATCACAGTCACCTGACATTATCGTCCAATAGATCTGCAGTCTGTGTCAGAGATCACATGATATCTGTGCTGAGACTCTCCTGTCAATCAAACCTGAAATACTTCTGAAACAAAGCAGAGACAAACAGCGCCCCCTAGTGATTCAGTGACAACTTCAAAGTGTTTCTGAAAGTGTGTGAACCTGCAGTGAAGATGTATACGGTGGCCGAGAAGTGCAAAGCAAATCACAATTCTGAAAACAAAATAACAAATTACAAACGCAAATGCAAGTCTAAAAAACAAAATAACAATTCAGAAAGCACAACAACAATTCAGAAAACATTATAACAAGTCAGAAAACACAATGACAAATTCGAAAACAAAATAACAAGTCAGAAAACACAACGACAAACCCGAAAACAAATTAACAAATCAGAAAACACAACGACAAATCCGAAAACAAAATAACAAGTCA